TTGATAACAGAGACCAAACCCTGTTTATGATGTAGCCGGAAAGGCATGAGCCAAAGAATCTGACCTCAGACTCCTCCCTGGTTTCTGTGGCTCAGCCTCTGAGTTCCCGAGTGCTTGACACAGAGAAAGGAGAAATGGGCCACCATGGAGTTTAATGACTCACCTACAGAATAGGTATTTTACTGGCCTTATGTTGTAAGGATCAAAATGAATGTAGTAAAGGTACAGGGAATGTTTAACATGCTTTATAAACAGATAAAGAGAGTTCCCCTTTTCTCATTTTCAACACCCACCTTCCATGTTCACTTTTAGCTGGGGCAGGAGGCGGGGAATGGTGAAAGCAGGTGAAAGGCTGTGCTTCTTGTAGCTTGAAAGTAAAGTGAGAAGCAGGAGAAAAGGATGTGCACTGGCACCGGAATTGGGCATTTGCCAGGAAGGGTTGGATGTTTAAATTGTGGGCAGGTTATGGAAGCAGCTTCCAACTGGAAATTCCGGTTGGCACCAGCATGGTGTCATATTTTCTATTTTGAACTAAAATAACTTACTGTTTTAAAAACTCCTTGCCAATTTGTCTCTAAGATCCCTTGACCTTATTTCATTGTCAATGAGGTTTCTGCCAAGAGGAGATACATCTGGTGGCAAATATGTATGCATGTGCAATGGCAAGTGCCAGAGAAGAGCATCAACCTGAAATTGTGTTTGCAGAGCAAGTCCACTCTACTCTTTTTACTAAGCTAATACATATTATTTGATGTGGTGCTTGATGCAGAAAACTATCCCGTACAAAAGTTGATCTGAAATTAATTTCTGACCATGCCCTTCTCTTGTCATTACCTTCACTGATCCCACAGCCTCCTTCCCACACTGGTGCCCACAGGATGAAATACAGACCCCTTAATATGTCAGATGAATTTATGTGGCCTTACTGATCACCTTTCTGCCTCTCATGCATAGCCTGAGGCCGAAATCAACTATTTGAGATTCCAGTAATATCCCTTGTTCTCTCTGGATCTTTGTAAGTGGCAAGAACTTAATCTGCAAAGTTTTTGTCTTTCCATTCCATACGTTCAAACTCCTACTGATACTTTACATCCATGTTTGGAAATCACTTTATCACCAGGAAGTATCCCTGAATCTCCTATGGCTGATCTAATCACTCTCCTACCCTGTGCTTCTGTAGTACCCACTGCTTTTACCTAAATATGCAGAAAAAATCCACTGTGTAGTAATTGCTTATATATTAATCTTTATTTTCCACAAAAACTGAACGTGTAAGAGAGAACTGCCTAGTCAACTCTGCATCCCAAACACTTAATAGGTATTAGCTACTCAATAATTATGTATTAAATACGTAAAAGAATAAACTAAACTTGAACATTATAAAAATTTCCCAACAATTACAAAAATGATCAAAAGCGATTTTGGCAACCATGAAACAAGAAAACACATACTGCAGCATCAGTAGCCCCTGATCAAAAATAGTTCAAAGTTTTTCAGAATGCTCAAGAAACCTTTATGAGGTAAAAGAATATCATTGAAGGGTCTAACTACTAGGTACATATACATAGGCATGGGAATACTTCCATATAAACTGGTCAAAATTATGAAAACAATTGTTGAAAGTTACTCAGCGTAACAAACTTTCATGAAACAGGAATGAAGTCATGTAATGAAACAAACAGTAGTGCTACCCAACATATAAGCAGTCAGTAAGTGGTAGCTAATCATACGATGTTGTTTTTTACACCTGTGAAATTCTCAGGTTACTGGGTTCTGTACTTCCTGTCCGTTTCACTTTTATTTTAGTGTTATATATGTAAAGTGACAATACTGCCTAAGATAAGGACTGAGTTTTGTTGTCCAAGTTCATCTCCATTCATTCAACAGTCTTTTTTAAAGCCCAGGTTGGGATATCGTGCTGCATTACTGAGAATCTCTTCCCCATTGTTACTGAAAGAAGCTGCACTGTGATTCTTTCAGTAACACTGTGATTCTTTGAGGATGCAAAAGAACAGACCTGTCACACGGACCAGGCAGCCCATGGCATTTCAAACCTCCCCAACCTTTCTCAAGGCCCTTCACCACTTCTTTCTCATTTTTCAGTCTCTGCACACACTCTGCCTCCCTTCCCACTGTTAGGGATGTTCCTGCTGAAGGCCCTTTATTTCATGGAAGCCCTGCATCCTGCCCCAGCCCAACCCTGTAGACTCCAAGCTCAGCAGAAAATTGCCTCCTTGTATTCTGAATTTCACTCTCCTTAGCTGTTTTCCTGTTTGACTAGAAATTTGCTCAAGCCTTTCTACCTTCAAAACCAAAAACGAAACAGCAACAAACTCTCTCCCTTGCCACGATGTCCCTTCTCAGCTCCTATGTTTTTCTCCTTTTTGTGGCTACAAATCTCTAGAAAGAGAAGCTTGCATTTCCATCTGTGACTTCCTTACTTCTCTTGGGCCCACTTCAGTCTGCCTTCTGGCCCCATCTTCCACTCCACTGCTCTTCTTAAGGTCTACAAACACTAGATCAAACTGTTTATATTTGTTTGTTTGTTTGCTTGTTCTACCTTTGTTACATTTAACTTATTTCCAGTAGCGACTTTCCCTTCTTCTATTCGATTTCTTTTCAATGCTCTTTGAAGTTTGGTTTTCCACGGTTTTGTTTTGGGGACTCAACTTTTTGCAGTCTATATTCTGCAGGAGAGCTCACCCATTTGTACAGTTTCAACTGCCTCTACCCCTCATGCAGATTAATATTCCTATTTGTATTTCCAGATGCGTCCATTTTCTGAACTCCTATACATCTAATGGCCTACTAGATATATTCATTCAGGTGCTCCATGGGCATCTCAAATGCATAATCTCCAAAACCAAATTCAGGTTTCCCCATAATTTTACTCCTAATGTGTTACATAATAGGGTGGATGATCAAGTCAGATGTCCTGCTCTTTTAATGAAATATACATCTACTACGAACCTACTATATGCAATGGTGGTAGAGCCCAGATTAAAGAAATGATCACTACTCCTAAGGAGCTTGCCCTCCAGGAGGGAGATCTGCGTATTGCTCCATCTTATTTATATTGGAATCTCACTGGAGTTGCCTCTTCACTATCTCTTTCTGTGACCTCCTTTCTAATCCCATTCACAGACTTGTTTTAAATAAAATGTTTGACATTGCTGCCCTGAGAAAAAACGTAATAATGAGGTTTCTAAGCCTTCAATGTCTTTGCTTCCAATTTGGTCTAGTAAAGAAAAGCTTATTTCCTCCTCTTCCTGCTCTCGGTGGGGTGTCTTCCTTAATCCCCTTTACCCTTCCTTTATGTCCTTATTCTTCCTCAATCTTGATGATTTATGAGTCTCCTATGAAGGAAGCTTACCCTTCAGTGATAGAGCCTCACCCAGAAAGAATTGGAGTTTTCATAATCCCTTTGACTTTGATTGGTATTACTGATACTGTCTTGGTCACTGTTTTTCCTTAGACCCTATCAATCTGTTTTTACCATATAGGATGAATCTCTCCATTTTATTCCTCTATACATACGTGATGCGTTTTGTGATTTGAACAATGGAATTTACTGCTATGGATTCTATTCTCAGACAGCCACATTATCATTTGTTAACGTATCAACATTTCAGGATCAGATTTTTAGGGATAAATAATTCTATGGGAGTTAAATCTAGAGGCAATGTTTTATAAAATTATGGTGAAGTTTATATACATGCAGAAAGTTAGCTGATGATTCCAGGGTAGATTCCTCACGGTCCCAGGTGCCTTTGGTCACTTGAGTGCCAGCTCAGACTCCCTAGCTCTTCCTGTTATTCCCTTGACTTTCTGTCCTGGGGCCTTCTCCTAATCCTCAGGAGGATGCTCAGCCTACATCAGTGGCCCACAGACATATGTGAGAGAGTTAATCCCCATGGAGTCAACACTGAGTGGTGATAATTCTCCAGGCTTCTGTCTTGCAGAATCTAGCCTTGTCAACGATGGCAGTGAGCTTGAAAGAACACTCATACTGATTTCCCTTCTTCAGTATTTTATTTTTCCAACTCCCTCCTTTTTGATTCCTGAATGCTCCACCAAATAAACCGTTGCTTCAAAGACTGTTTCAGGCTCTGATTTAGCGAGAAATTCAATCAAAGACCCATGCATTTGAAAATGTTATAGATTCACATGACTAATAACTACATGGTTAGGCAGCATTTTCTCCAGTGATCTGTTCTTGGATTGAAAAATCTCCCGATCTCCCTTACCCTTTACCCCTTTGAGTTTGGCTCATGGGTAGATGATATTTTCTACCATAAAATCCTTCACTTCCTTTATCCTTGAGCACATTTGTTGAATTGTCTGCCTTACCCCCTGGATCAGTAGCTGTGTGACGACAGGGTTCAATTTTGTTTTATTCATTTCAATATTCTTAACCTTTTGCCTAGAGCAAAATATTACTTGAAATTAATCATAGGAAACCACTATTCATTTCAATATAGGTTCTCAATAAAGGTGTGCTGAATATACAAATCTAAGGAAAATAATATTTAAAATGTCAGGAATTGGTCCTGAGCTGTTCCCACCTCCTGCAGTTCCCTACTCAGAGAAACAGGGCAGACCCAATGTGCCAGGAGTCTCATGGCAGGAAGCCTGTAACTTCTTGTCCTGTGAATGCAGTAGCCACACCCAGAATGTAAGCAAAGCCAGAGGTATTAAAAAAAGAAAAAGAAGAACATGACTATAGATATCATTCTATAAAGTACTTTGCTAGAATCAGCTCATTAATCCTGTCAGCAACCCCACAAGCAGATGCTGTTTTTATTCTCATTTTACAGAGGAGGAAATCAAGATAGAGAGTTCAAGTGGCTTGCTGAGACTCATGTTTCCTGCTGATGGCCGTGCCCAGATTCAAGCTCAGTGTAACACCAAACCTCACCCTCCACTGCCCTTGAGAAACAGAAATCCCGGTAAAGGCATTGGCAGGACCAGGTAACTTAAAAGAAATGTTTGTGTGTCTGCCTGTCCTGGTTGGGAAGGAAGTTTCTAAGATATGGCATGCCAAACAATTAATAGTTTCATATCTGTGAAAGATTTCCTAGTGCAACTGAGCTCAGTGAGCTGCATATTTTATAAAAAGGACATAATTCTACTGATAATTATTTTTCCTGCAAAGAAATAAGTCATGTTTTTTTTTTTTGCAAGTATAGAAGGTGAAACTTATTGTCAGAACACTGACATTTACCTCTATAAATTTAAGCAGTTCCTGAAGGTCATGGGAAACAAGTGACAAAGAGAATGGTTCTGTCTGAAAATAAAATGATCATATAAAAGCTCCTTTGGAATGCTAACATTCTATTAAAGCGTAACTAACATATTTAAACCATTATTGTGCCATTGTAAATATGCTTTTAGATTTTTATATTACAGACAACTTCCTGAACTCTATTATTTTGCAAAATCAAATCATTATTTTGGTGAAAATAATGATAGGTAGGGTTTGTTGGTAGATGTATCAGCGATTGTCTTGCAACTTGAATGCAGTCATTGGGAGCCCAGGGTTTTTGTAATGAAGACTGTCGATCTAGTCTTTTTGAGACAACCTGTATGATGTTGCCACATTTACATTGTAAACACTTGAACATATAAATTTCTAAGATAGCTTATTCTGGTGTTTTTAGCTGAACTTCTAATCATCAAGAGGCCAAGATTCCATGGTAAATGAAAGACGTCAATAGTAAGGGAATGTGCCTTCTTACACATCACTCGGAATGTTTTACCACAGCGTAATATCCTTTTTATTATTGAGCAAGCCAATGATGTCCAAGCTCATCGTAAGGCCCATCTGCCGTTTTATTCCTTATCTCTCCAGAAACGAGACAGATGATGCAGCATACTCAGGATCCACATTTCCTAAATGTTTAACATTGTACAAGCTAAATGGAACTTTGATTCAATGTGTTAAAAGTCAGCTATTTACAAGACACATCGATGGTTACTGCAAATAAATAAAGCTGCTAATTGATTATGCATGCTCAAAATACCCTTTTAGAGTGTATCAGAAGTAGAGAGGGCTACCTGGGAGCATTATACCTGGAAGGGAGATTGTACACAAAACTTAGCTCAAGGAGACCATGTTCCTGGGTTCACTCAAATGAGTGAATATGATGAATATTTATTGTGCAGCTATACTGTGCCTATGTCTAAATACAGGCTCCGAATAATTCAGTGGTCATTCAACATGTAATTAAAAGAGTTGCTGTCACATACCAGGCATTGCACTGAGTGTGGGGGACTCAATATAGAGCAATACAGACTCAGTCTTTGCCTCAAGAAGGTACATTTAGAGGGGAGACTACAAACATAAACACGGAGAAGGCTCAGGCCAACTGTTTCCAGGTTTAGGTATCTTCTCTTCCAGACTCTCTTTCCTCTTTTCTCCATCCAACTGTGCACCCAGGAAGTTGATCTGTGAGCACAACATAATGGACTCCTTTTCTCTGTGGCTGTGTGTTGTACTTGTCCAGCAGTGGCCAAAGACTGAAGGTAGAGAATATGGTGAGATCGGTTTCTTCCCTACATGGTAGCTGCAGGCTGGCTGAGCCCATCTAAGAAAACCTTACAGCTTCTTTCAACTAGCCCTTTCTGCACTAATTTCTAGTACATGCTTTCTCTTTTGGCCCCTTTAGACCTTTAGGTTGACCTACTGTTATTAGCCTCTAGATACTGCCATGTTCATGTATTTTTCCTCACCCTGCTCACATACCTTAAAAATGGCACCTTTATTCATCTGTCTTTGTTTCCATGCGTGTGTAACATTTGTATCCTGCTGACACTCAGACTGTACAATCCCTAAACTAGCCACTGAAGTAGAGCCTTCTGTTTACCTACAGTAAATCTTTGTAGGGAGAAGTCAGTACAGTTTTGAGGTTAACTTATAGCACAGCTATGCTTACATAACATGGTGACTAACCCTGCTGAAGCAGGGTGTGAAGGTTTTAAGTACCATTGAGATCTACAGGATCAGAATAGGTAATTTCAAGTAGTATAAATTTCTCTAAATGAAAGTTTTGGAAAAGAATAAAGTATGGAAGTAGGCTACATAATTCAGGGATGCTTCTACATATGACTCTGCTGTATGCTCAGAATTAGGCAAACATGGCTGCTTAAAATGAGAATCTGCAATAAAGATGATCCTTGGCACTAATTCATTAATGGATTAGGTAAATTAGACACTGGATAGGAGATGTTCCTTATTCTGACCCCCTAGGGAGCTTCTGTTACATATACTGAGGGCCCATGGCACTTTCCCTAGTATGCATAGATAAATATTCAGAAATAATTTTTTCCTTCCCTTTGTATTGTTTTTCTTTAAGTAGAGAGTTGAAGCTTATTGAGATATACAGCAGAGTCATATGTAGAAGTTAGAGTCTTGCCAGAAATTTGGTTTAAGTTATATAATTCAGAAGACTACACAAATCTTCTAACGATTAAAATGAAAGCATCAGATATTGGTTACCTTAGATAGTGGGTTACTATTATTATTATTGATATTATTATTTTTATTTTTCCTCAATTTATAGTTCAGACCCTCACATAAACTGAAGGTACAAAAAGTATTTACTGAATGAATGAGCAGAGTAATGATGAAAGGAATATGAATAAAAACCAAAATGAATTCCATTGGCTTTTCTTCAAATTACTTGCAAATTTAATTTTTAGATAAATATATCAGAATTTATCCAGGTAAATGATTATCATTCTTCAAAGGAATCACCTTGGGGGTGAGGTAGGAAGTAAGCAAGACTATTTCAACAATTCTACTTTTATTCAAAGTATTTTACCAAGTACCTTTTTCAGAGGCAGTAATACATTCTCTTAAATAGTGGCAAATCTGAGTCCTTTAAAAAATGATTCATTTTTTTTATTACTGTTAAAGTTATGCAGAGTCAACTTTTGCATGCAGGATGAGTGATCAAACTAGGTTATTTAAACGAGGCATGATTATAAAGTAATGATAACTTTTAAAAATGATAAGACTCAAATGTAATCAGAAATAATTGAATTTCAACATGTGGCAATTCCAGATATATTCTGTGCAATACCAGAAACTGTTGAAAATGTCGCACAAGAGTTGTCACAGAGGATGAAGAAGAATCAGACTCCAGAGCTTGGCAGATGGACTTAAATCCCTCCTTGGACAGTAATCCACTGCATGGATCTTTGAGGCTATGATTCTATCCACAACAAAGAATGGTGTTGGCTACCTTAGGAGTCTGCTACTAGAGCTGGTCTGTGATCTGTGCCAGATACTCACCATCCTCTTTACTTTCACCCTAGAATGATCTTGAAAATAATTTGCAGTTCTCAACTCAGGAATGCACTGAAGTGTATCCACTGTACTTGAGTTTGAAGGAAAAGACACAAGTTGTACAGCTGGAGCCAAGCATGAGGAGACACACAGTGGATAAGTGTTAAAAAGGTAAAAAGATGGCTTCAACCTTATCCTGTGGCTGCAGAAAGCATCCTGTCATCATTCATGCTCTGTATATAGCCATCTCTTGGAAGTGTTTATTTAGAATATGATGGCATTTGGCAAGGAACTAAGATTTGGAGATCCTCCAATAGTTGGCTAATACCTGCCTGGATTCAAGAAGGCATTATGCCAAAGGGAGATTCTTGGAAAAATCATTCTGTTTATTTCTAAAAGACTTTCCACTAAATCTCAGTAGAGTCTCCATGCCATATAATGCTGTGAGAAAGCCTTTATTGTGGCCTATACTCATCAAGACGGCTGGACTCCTTGGTTCCATGTCTGCAGGTCTATACCCTCATCTCAGTTTTCCATTTTAACACTATGCTGGTGGGTCAAATAGGTCCCAAAGAAAAGAAAAGAGAGTATTTGTTTATTTATACTTCTTGTACCAATAATTCAGTAATCTGGCCTAAATTGTTCTTTGAGGCCATCCCTGGAAAGTGACAAATCTTTCATGGAGTAGAAGGGTAGAGATGAGCCCACACACAGTTGTCCCCATGAATCCTGTTTGTGCCAGCTCCCACTGCAAACTTCCTTTTCCAATTGAATCCGTTCAGATTTTCAGTTCCAGCGCAGCCCTTGTTAGCTTTATCATCTCGATGCCCTTTTTATTATCTGTGAGTATTAATCCTTGTATCTGGAAATGGAGATCTCTCACTTCCTGAAGTTTGTTGCAGGGAGGGGGCTGTGTGTGACTCTCATAAAGTGTTAACTCCCCTACAAAGCTTCTTTCAGGCTCATTTGTTACCTCCCATCGGGCACTTTGATCTCAAAGATCTTAAGAAATTTTTGATATACACCAAGGCAAGAAAACTAAAGGGAGAAAACAGAAAAGTCAAAAGAATAAAAGAGAATCAACCAAATAGATATATTCTCAGATAGAAGCAATTATCTTGTCTGTCCAGCAATTCTCATTTCCTTCTTCTGGTCACTTGTTCTGCACCCTTGGGTTTTGTTTTTTTTCACCCTTAATGGTCTAAGAGTGAGCAAAGAAATTCAAAGTGATATACCTTACTGTCTGACTTGAATTGGTTGGTCTGGAAAGTGCTCTTCACTTCAATTGGCCAAATAAGAGATCTCATTGGTTGTTTAATTTCCGGCAGAAGAAACAGCAGGGGTCAGTCATTTTCTGGCTAGGACTTTGAATGATTGAAAATTCCACACCTCCTGTTGGTGGGAAAAACTTTTCTAAGAAAATAAAGCAACATGTGAAGAGAAGATATATAGCACATTCTGGAGACAATGGAATTTCTATTTCTACTTGTATTCTAGGCTATATTTGTTCTTTTTGTGGTTACAAATCATCCATTTTTTGGGGGGGGGGCTCAACTAATTTCTTCTCCAGAAAGAAATTTGACTTAGGAAATCATTTAAAAAATAAACACTCCATAAACCATCATTGTAGGGCCAACAGGAAGTGCAAGAATTGCCCACTGGAGATCCTGAAGTTGAACCTTGTTTCAGAGTGGATATTGTCCTTGCCTGGCTCTATTGAGAACTAAATTAGAAAGAATTGAGGTCTGGGGCAAAGGAGAAATTGGAAAGGAGGAGGCCTTCCAAAAGAAGCTGTTGACTCCTATGAGCCAGTCACAGAGTGAGCAACAAAAATAACAGACCAAGTTGAAGTACAGAGTCTTCAACTGCTCATAATCCAATAGAGCAAGCACATCAGAAGTAGTTGTAAGGAACAGGATCTATTTTGCAGATGCTGATACTCAGTTACTAAGAAGCCAGTGCCCCAAAGTAAGGGTGACTATGACTCCACTAGCAGACATGAAGGGTGCTGCGGAAGGGGTGGTGTAGATACGGATAAAAGGTTTTGCCACTCAAGACAATGAGATGAATAAGAGCTTATTACAAAGACAGTGTCTTAATTCTTCATTTGTATCATCTCCTGGTCCAATGTCAATACTTCTAGTTCATGGGTGGGGCTCCCACATTAACAATAACACAAAGCCCAGTGAGGTTACATCCCTATTTTAGAACACAAAGCATGAGAAAAACCAAATTTATATGATCATTATGTTTGAACACTAAAGCATTCTTCACTCTACAAAAGATGTACCACAGCATGTCTCTAATCTAAACAGTAACCTCCTTCCAATATAGCTAAGTATAAGTCAATTTGTGTATAGCCATCCAGGAAATGTCACTTACATGAAGAAAGACAAACCAGTAAGAACAAATAAATTGTCCAAGGTGTTTATCTTGCTGTACATAAGAATTCAAAGGTTGTACACAAGTTCACTTCTTTCCAGATACATCCTATTTACTACTTTAATAGTTCTGAGATGTTCTCTGCTTATTTATTCATCCTTACAGTTAAGATGGGAAGGTTGGAGGCTCTTCAGCTGGGTCTTTAGAACTTAACACCCCCAATTAGGTGTTCACTAACACAGTAGCAAGGACTATTGTGCAGAGAAAAGTAACCACAGTCTCTTAGATGAGTTGGTAGAGTCCCTCAGCACAGAAAGCACTTTTCCACTAAGTATTTTACATGAGCCTTATTCCTTTGAAGCTTCTATTATTAGTTTTTTTTCTTTTTAAAAGATGATGAAATGAGACAGGGACATTAAATGACTTGGCGGACATTGTCTATGGGAGTAGTGCATGGAGAGCCAGAATCTATAACCTATTCTTGGGACAATACAGCTACTTCACACCAAAACACCTTATCTGTCCTTGAATGAGCTGTCTGCCATAGCTTGTAAATGACAGTAACAAATTCCTCTTAAGGCAGTTTCCTGTTGTCCAAGCATGATGCTGCATAATGGGCCCAGGATTGAATATTGTCCAGAAATCAAAGCCCCAAATGCATTCAGACAGTTTTTCAATTGCTTGACACCAACCTTTCCTTGGATCTGATCTGGCTGTCAGGTCACCGACAGACATGCCCCCAATTCCTAGCTGGTAAATTAACTACTGCTATTTGTTTGTGCTTAACTAATTTAGCAAAATATGTGTACTCTACAACTAGCTCAACTATATGCTAAACTAGAACATTTGGGTTTTGCTTTGCAGGTATAAGTCAGAGAAGAATTTTTAAATACCAAGTCTGGGGCTGGGATTGTAGCTCGGTGGTAGAGTGCTTGCCTAGCATGTATGAGGCCCTGGGTTCAATCCTCACACCACATAAAGATAAATAAATTAATTAGAGGTATTATGTCAATCTACAGTGCTCTCTCTCTCTCTCTCTCTCTCTCTCTCTCTCTATATATATATATATATATATATATATATATTTTTAAATAAAGTCTGTAATTACATACTTATTCTTTTATTGATTTAAAAGATAAATGACAGCGGAATTAATTTTAATTCTTATTACACATATACAGCACAACTTTTCATATCTCTGGTTGTATATAAAGTATGTTGGCACCAATTTGTTTCTTCATACATGTACCTTGGATAATGATGTCTATCACATTCCACCATCCTTGCTAACCCCTGCCCCCTCCTTTTCCCTCCCACCCCTCTACCTTTTTAGAGTTTTTCATCACGACTCTATTTTTGTGTGCCTCTAAAATATATAGTCATTGTTTTTATAATGGTAAATTTGATTTATTGAGCAAATCCCCAAAATAATACAGTTTTTCCAGCTTATCAAAAATATTAGATAAAATTTAGAGTGTGTTTATATTTCATACAGGAAAAAAAATGGGAAGTAGAAGAATAGTTGATTAGCTTAATAAATAGCTAGAAAAGAATTTTCTCTAGTCATCAGTTTAATCATATCATTCTTCTTTCCCAACTAGGGAGTTTTAATTTTATGTATTGAAGCAGTTTGTATAAGGGAACAAAAATTGGTAGAGTTAACGCTTTCTCTGAACAGTTTTATATACATATTTATCATCCCAGGATAATAATAAAAGGAAGCACTCAGTCATTTCACACTGGAGAACTGGGGATAGAGCATCTAGCAACCAGTATGTATCTTTAAAATCTGTGCTACCCCCAATCATGGTGACTTTGGTCATTTTTGTAGAGTCTCTTAGTGGGGTATGTTCTATCTCCAGCTAACTGGAATCTGAAAAGATAAAGGCTTTCTGAATACTCTTGTGGCAATAGTTGTTTCCAATTTAGAATCACTATCTATGCAGTTATTTGCTGAGGCCTTTCTCTTCAGTCAAATTATATAAGACATATGACTTCTCACTTAATTTTAGATTTATTTATGGGGCCAACTCACAGCAAGAATTTCATGCTTTGAAAGTCCTCTTGAAATGATTTCTTGTTTTGCTTAATTTACAGTGTTGCAATATGCAGCTAGTTTTTCACATAAATACCATGTTGCCATGATAATCCTTTACATCTTACTTCACCTTACAGTTGGAAAATCTAAGTCTTCCATACATTGTATCATTGTTTCTATGTTACATAATTAAGTCAATTAAACATACCTATGCGTACTTAAAGCATAGGTTGTTATCAAAATTTCCTCACAGACATATGGCCCATCTCAATGGCATCAGGGAGGGTGTCTCTTAAAGGTAACCAACCGGTGTTGGCACTTTATCTTGTCTGGGAATGAGATTTGTGTGGGTTGGGCTCCAAATGTTATTGAAGTTGCCTAGCTACCACATTTAGAGAGAGGAGAAACTGATAGTTTTGACAGCATTCAGCCATGTAGCAATTTACCAGGGCCTCTCTTGACAGCTGGGTCCTAGGGAGTTTTCCATTTTCATCTAGCATGCCTTTAAGTAAGATTGGCTCCACTGCAAAATGCTAAGGTGGATAGTTCTCTTCTGTTACTCCTGATTCACATCAGCGTTTAGTAGTTTTTAGGCTAACATATAGACCACAAGTAAATTTTAAAAGTACATTTTTTAAAATTTATTTTTATTTTTTTAGCTTTTCTGATGCTCTGATGGAGAACTGTCAGAGGGCACATGAAGCTGGCTCTGAGAGAATGGAGATGCTGAGAGGAGCTTCCTGGAGGAACAGATCGTCAATGCAGGACACAATGAATATGTTGGCACAGAAAAAATAAAATACCTGGAAGGCAGTTGACTCAAGAAAAAGAACCCAGCATGTTCAAGGGTCTCCAGAAAGCTTAATAAGGCTGACAGAAAGACAACTGTAGAAAGGGACCAAGAAGGAAGTCTGGTTCAATTCATGTAACATCTTAGAAGAAATATTGAAAATTTTTGACTTCATCCTGAAGACAATTGGAAGTTTTTAAAAGACCTTTGTTAGACAGGCTTCATAACCACAATTAGGATTTTAAAGAGATCCTACCTGCTACTCCTGGGAGAGCAGATTGGTGACCCAAGAGAGACAGGAGTCCAGTTGGAAGAATATCATATTTTCATTGTTCTGTAATAGACAGGAGATGAAGCATGCACTAAAACTCCAGGGATGGAGAAGGGGGATTCTAAGAGCATTTTAGAAGCAGAATTGGCAGGATGGGGTGCCTGGTGTACGAGGTCATAAAGGCAGGGAGGGATCAGGATGAATACACATTCTTGCAAATGCATGTAAGGAACAGAGGAGGGGCGAGCATTATTTGGGAAAGCAGAGTTTTAGATGCTTTTGAATTTGAGAAATTCAAACAGAGAGATTCTGATCTCTATGTGAGGACTCGTACATAGATTTGGGCTTGAGAAATGCACAGCAATGGTAAGTAGGAGGATATTAATGATTGCTTAGAAACAGAGTGTGCAGAGGCCGGATGGAGCCCCAGAGAACTCCAGCATTTCACTGCTATTTGGAGGAGTATGACCTAGTAATGAAGATTAGCTTGAGCAGAGAGATAGAAAAGAAAAATCAAATGTAGATGTGTCCGTAATGCCAAAGTAAATGATTGTTTCAAGAAAAAAATGCAGACCCTTTCGAATGGGGCTATGAGATAAAATGAAATGAGGGTTTTAAAGATGATATTAGCATTGTTTGCTTTGGAAAGAACGCTTCTTAGTAATATTTAAGTTATCAGTGACTTGGCAAAAGCTGTTAGTACAATGGTAGGAAGAGATGGCTAAAAGGAGGAAGGGAAGTGAGAAATGATAAATATGGATAATTGTGGAATTTGACAGTAGAAAGTAAAACATTAGTAGAAGTAGAAGAAGAGTGATGTTTGAAGCTGAACATGCATACATACATATACACACACACACACCTGTGCACTTAAAAAGAATAGATGCACATAGTTTGCTGATGATGGGGTAAAGAGAAAACTAAACATGCTTAGTTCCTACTGAGGTTTTCAAAATGAAAGAAAGAATCAGGTATTGGAGTGGAATATTTTTGTAGGTTTTAAGACTAAGAATTGAGGCAAATTTCATCTGTTGACTTCTGTTTTTCTGTGAATTCAGGGGATTACTTGAGGTTTTCTGCTGAGATAGAGCAAAGAGTTTCATAAGCAAAATCTATTATTTCCTACATGTATCTTTCTATGTTCCCATCAACCAAGAGAATCAATACTTCTCTTATATCCCCAGTTCTTCACGGCCAAATCTCAAGGCTCCCCCTATAAGCAGACACCAATGCTAAGCCCTTGTGATGATGGAAGCCATTATTATGTATTTCTCGCTAAAACCTGAGATGGTTTTCTGTTATCATTGTCCATGTTCTCTATCCTGGATGAGCTCTGATTTGCACTAGCTCTTCCTGACTCATGGTTTGGGGCTAATGCAGATCTGGGATGGTTCTATATTTGTGTTCATTGCTCTTGCCTAGTTGCTTTATCTGGTTATGATCATGAGAATTAGGTGAGAAAGAACACCTTTCCCTCTTCATTTCTATATAATATTATCCCCGTTTTTTCTTTTATCTTTTTTTTTTCCTTTGCATCATCTAAAAAGTGTAAGGAGAAGAAAAGAAACTTGTGTGGGTAGGCCAATGAGCAAGTAAATCACTTTTGGTGTCTTAGAAATTTTCAGTATATGGTGATTCTACCAACAAATGCCACAATTGCCTTAAACCTATCACTCATATGATAAAAAGGAAAATGTATGATATTTCAATAGTATATCCAAATGGGGACATTTCCCTTCCTTTCTAATAAGTATACTGTGTTCTAATAGAAAGTCCATTATTTCTCATTAATGAGCCAATTAGAAAATTATTGCTGGGTTGCATAGACAAGAGGAACAGTCCTGACCGATAATGGCAGGGAGGAAAACCAGGAAATATCCTCTCTTTTTGTTCCTACTGTTAATCTTAGAATAGTGTTTGTTGTCCATTCAAATTCTTGAGTTTATAATCCATGTTATTTAGTAATTTCAATTACTCACAATAAGAAACATAAGAAATGTATAGCGTAAAGATTCTTTGTAATAGAAGAATTTCAGCTTAGAAATGTTCACAGAATGATATGTTAGAGAAATTACAGTTTTATAACTCCTAATCAGGCAGAAGAGTGGTCTTTGAGAATCATGTTTGCTTATTTCCAGAAATAGGGGATGAATCATGATATATGGAGCAATGTCTACATAGGAAGTATATGGAATTCTTTCCTTTACAAGAATTTACATAGTGAAGTATTAATTGCATTAGGAATGGATGCTTAATCTAAAAAATAAACCATTATATGAAACAGAAAAAAATAAAGAAAAAAATTCAAGAAGTGATAGACTATTTCAATAAGGAGATAGAGATCCTGAAGAAAAATGAGTCAGAAATCTTCAAAATGAAGGAATTTATAAACCAAATTAAAAATTCAATGGAAAGCATCACCAACATACTAGACCACTTGACAGATGGAGATTCAGGCAATGAAGACCTTGTCCCTCTCTTGAAAGGTATTCGCTTCTGAGTCTCAGGACTTGGTTTCATGGTAATTGGGTCTCCCTGTGTCTCCAGAGGCTTGGAGGGTAATGCTTCACCCTGGCTAGGGGCAACACTTTACTCTTCACCCAGCCCATCTGTCTTTCTGTGACCCTCCTCCTGCTCCTCACCCACCATGATTCCTCTGGCTGCACCTGGGCCCTCTCCTCTATTTTCTTTAGTCCAGGGAAAGGGAGGTGACTGGGTATCATACATTCTACAGCTTGGAATACCTGTTCAGGACTGGACCTCCATAAATGGGATCCTTGTGAATCTGGTATCTTTGAAGAAGTAGACTGGATGAGCCAATTTAGGTGCCAGTGCCAAGAGATGGGTCATAACTCAAAAGGTAAAGACACATTTGTCAAGATCACTGGGAGAAGAGGTTGAAAATTTACCCTCTCCCTACCAGCATGTGCATATGTCCATGAGAGATGGCACTCTGCTTGGTAAAACTGGGGAATACGTATAGGAAGAAAGTTAAAGAAATTACAATAGAATAGCTATTTGGGATTTGGGACACTGGTGCTGAAGATATACTCTTATTAGAGTAAAATGAGGAAGAGCACATTAGTCACCACATACTCTACATTACAACAATGTATATATGTAGCTGTAAATGTGGAAAATGAGGACACTGCCATCTCTTTATTGTCCTGGCTGATAGCTTCCTTAAATTATGATTGGCACAATATGTTGAAGTCATCCATGGTACCCTGTGTTGGAAGTCCATGGGAGAACTCCAAGACCTTCTGAGGGAGTTACGGTGCTGCAGGCCCTTAATGCAGCAATCTGCACTGGTCCTAATAATGAACCATTCACAGGAGAACTGAAGGACCATTCTCCAAGCATTTATGAGGCAGTATCATGGAAGCCTGGGATCATTCCTGATCTGTTAATTGGCATTTGATTTTTCTCAAGCCACACAGGTTATGGCTGTATGGGATAAACTAAAAAGATGAGAAAGTGAGGTTACAGAGAATATATCTTAGAAGGGGGAGAACTAAAGGGGAAAGAAAATACCAGAGGTCAAATGAGGAAAAGCAAGGACAATATGCCTTTGTGTTGGGAGGGCAACAATGGTCTTTGTTCTTTCACAAGGATATTTGCCTAGTCTACCCTATGTTATGGGATGGTGTTGGCACCTCTGAGCTGGACATAACCTGAATAAGTACCAATGTTTTATTATTGTATTGATGATGTGGTTTTAACATCTGTGTCTTTACTTCACCTGAGCTGAGACTGCAGCTCAAAGAGTGTTGGCAACCTCCAAGATGGACGATGGGGTGTAAACTCCTCCAAGTTGCAAAGACCTGGGGTGTCTCTCAGGTGCTCAGGGGTTATTTGGTTGTGTCCTGCTGTTGCTCATAAAAAGAAAATTTTTCCCAATTCCCAGACACAGACCTTTCTGGATGTTGAGATGTTTTCATCACTGTACTCCATAATTTAGGATTAATGTTAAAGACTTTGTATGTTTTAGTAAAAGGTTGGCCTGGTGGGACTGGAAATTGGAACATCTCAAGTACTTCTCTGAACAAAAGTCATTGTAGAGGAATTACAAGCCTTGGGTATATTAGCCCAAGCACACACCTATAAATATATTTCCCTGCCCTGATGGGTTGAATGGGTCCTTAGGAAATATCAGGGCAATAAATGAGTTCAACTCTGACATCCTTGGAAGAGGCAAAGATAATGAAAGACATTTGGGATCAATCACCACATTGGAACAGACTGTGCTTTCCTTTGGGAAGAGCAACAATGGACTTTGTTCTTCCACATGGTATTTACATAGCTTGATAATAGGTTATGGGATGGCGGACAAAACCATAGGAGCTGCCAGAGGGAACCAATTGAGTCTATTGGCCATGGGAATGGCAAAAGGGCCTCAATGAAGTGGGTTGCTAGTCCATGGGCAAAAAGACTAGACCAAGACATACAAATAGGAAAAAAAACAAACAAACCTACCAGTAGAGAATTTTTCATCGCTGCGTGAGTTTCTCATTTCATTATGGTCTATAACTTCATTGTTGTCATACTTTTCTTTGCACAAGGACATCTTGAACAAGAAATATGGTATTGTAAATGTGGTGATGGGACACAGGCTGGTACTATTCTCACTTAGATTGATCAGGTTGCTTATGTGTTGCTGAATAATCCAATTTCACTCCTGTTGCATATTACCCTTAGAGCTAAGGTATTTATATAACAGACAAATATCATAATAGATGTGCAGAATAAAATGATTCCTGGTTGTACATTGAGGTGCCTCTGTCCTCCTCTTCTCATCTCCTGTGGCATCTTCAGTCAGCCACGTTAGTGTAGAGGGAGCAAATGTGAAAACTGGAGCCACAGCTGCAGCTCATGGACACAGCTGGATAACTGCCCTATGGAATTGAACATAAATGTATCTTCCTTTAAGGAAACCAAATAGCATGACTTCCATTATATGTGGAAATAAATAATTATGACAAAGCAAAAAAAAAAAAAAAAAAAAAAAGGATCATGTTTGATTTGTCCCAACTCCCCATAGCCTGTGATTTCTGCAGAATCTCAGTGTCAGTCAGAACCTGCTTTTTGGAGTGAACCAATGTGCTCAATTCTGGGGTCATCACTTTCTGGCAATGTGACCACAGCTAGTTGCATAATCTCCTTAAGTTTCAAGTTTATTCTCTGTTAAATGGTGACATTAGTAGTGTTTGTCTCTAAGGATCAAATGTTATAAGACATAAAGTGTTTAATTTTCATTAAAAATCATAATTGCTATTCTGCAAGAGATACTGATTTAACATTCATTTTGGAATAGACATGGTTCTCGTGACTAGAAGCAAAAATGTGTGCAGGACTCCCAGCTTTGTGAAGCTTATGTTCCAATGGGGAAACAGACCAAATATAGTGCAGAGGCCAATGATTACAAGTCTTAATAAATGCCCAAGGAAAGTATCTGTCCATTAGAGTAGAATAATCATGGAAGGCATCTCTGAGAAGGTGACATTTAAACAATGAAAAATGAAGAGTCTCGTGTGGGAGAGGGAGCATTTGTATGAGAGTCTGGGAAGAGCTTTGTCTTATTTGCAGAATCCATGGGAACAAAGCCAGCAGTGTGTCACCAGAGAGGCAGGAAATGAGCCCAGGTGACAGGAAAAGCCAGATCCTAATGTTACAGACCAGGGTTAGAAATGTGGATTTTGTTCCAAGTGCAGTAGGAAATCATTACTGGGCTTTGACATAGACAAGTGATCTCAATGTGGGTTCTAAGTATTCGTTGAATGCTGCATGGATTCTAAATGGGCAGGAGCGGAGGGTACATGGTTGGAAGGCTGTTGTTCCAGGAAAAGCAAGATCGGTGGTGGTTGAAGGTGGTGTGAATGAAGTCAGAGAGAACATGGGCTCAGGATGCAGTTCTGATGATATAAAAAGGGCTTGATGGTAATTAGTGCTAAGAAAGGGGAGTGGAGGTTGCAGAATCACGACTTCCCTCCGGGCTTCTGGCAGGTTCATGGGGTGGGATGATCCCACCATATTCAGAGATGCAGAGAAGACAGGAGGGGAAGTAGGGCAGGACTGAGAAAAAAAAAAAAAACCTAATTAGCAGTTCTTTTTAGGACTTGCTGAATTTGAGATGCTCATGAGTGAGAATAAATGGATGTTATTATTATTTATAATAATATTGATAGTATGGGACTATTTTTCCTGGAGCATTTCTTTGGGAATTCTTCTTTGAAAACCTGAGATAATCATCAGCTACTATTCAAAGACTTGGAATTCTATTTTGGTTAAAAGTTTCATCACAAGTTCAGTGTGTTAAACAGTTTTGGAATATGTCAACTTTTGAAAATCGCGGCTTCAGAAAACATAAAAATGGAAAACTATGAATGTGAAACTGAGTAGGACAATTAAATGGAGAGCTCACTTGCAGTCAATAAAATAGTGCAATTTTGAAAGCCAACGGTAGCTCATCAGTTTTTATCTTAATCACATAAGAGGATGATATGCCACACTAAAATTGAGTTAATGTAATTGTATTAGTTTCCAAATTTGTTTAATAGCAACACTTCAGAAGAAGCAAGTGGTATAATACCTTTCTCTCAGGCCCTGAATCATTTGCTCTAAACCAGTATAAAAATGGGTATTAATTCACATTGTGGCTTAAAAATGTAGCTACAAAACTCAAAATTAAATGATTGAAAATTATTGTTTCCTCAGCAATTACAGATCACCTGTGTTAAGCTGACATTTCCAGTGTGATTAGGCTAGAATATGGTTATCACAAGACTGAAGTGATATCTGGAAAAATTTTTTCTTGAGAACTAGATTTATTTTTTTTTGTGTGTGTGCGAGGGTAGTACTGGGGATTGAAGTCAAGGGCACTCAACCACTGAGCCACATCCCCAGTCCTATTTTGTATTTTATTTAGAGACAGGGTCTCACCAAGTTGCTTAGCATCTGGCTGTTGCTGAAGCTGGCTTTGAACTTGAAACCTCCTGCCTCAGCTTCCCAAGCCATTGGGATTACAGGCATATGCCAGGCGCTGGCTGAGAACTGGATGTTTTGAAGGTTTGCATTTTTTTTTTCTATTTGAATTCTGCAAGGTGTTGAATTTTCTTGTCACTTTTCCAATAAAGATATAAATAAAACTGAAACATACTATTTAACTATGTGGATTACCTGCATGTGTTATCAAGTAACTCATAGCCCTATGTAATGTTGAATGATCAAACTCTCCGTTTGAGAAATAATAACTTCACATACAATGACTTATTGTTTCTACCAGAGTGTGAGCCTTATATGAGAAACTCACTAAGTACTTTTAAAATTAAATTTACCTGAATCTGGTCGTCTGTAAGTAGGGTGGCTATTTATTACAGTTGTGTAGAATTGAGGGAGATTTGGGGATTTCAGCTTTATAATTGGCACATTCTTGGGCAAAATGGGATAGGTTTTTTTTTTTTTTCCTTTCTCTAAAGTGAGTCTGCTTTAATTATTGATTCTTCAGCGGCAAAGTTTTGTCTTGACATATTTTCTTGATGTATTTTTTAAATTTGTAAGACTCCCTAAAAATCATTTTAAAATTTAATATGTTGATTTGGGGACTTTAAAAAATAAATTTTTTAAAGCTCTGTTTTTTTTTTGTTCTTTTTACAGTATTTTTCAAGCCAGGCTGAGTCTTATACTTTTTACATGATTGGAATCTCAGAATGATTCCCACAGTAGACACTTTATATGTTGACTTAACAGAATGGTTATTTGTCAAGAAAATAAAAAGAGACAGCAATAATCCGAGAATAAGGGTTACTTTTCTTTTCTTGCAGACCCAATTTGCAAGTTTACATGAAAACAGGAAATTACTGTAATGTATGCTTTGTAAAATGGACTTGAGAAGAAAAATGTGTGAGTAATGTTTAGTTCCAAGTCTAAACTTAGACAGAAATTTATATGATCCAAATGCAATAACTTGGTAATAAAGGTATTAATCAGAGTAAAGTTGTGTTGCAGCAGGAAAGCCTTATTTTAAGCCCATCATTTCCATTTTTTTCTCATAAATAACTATTCTTTACTGTATTCTTCAATGTTTAACTGAAGTATCAGACTTGTAGTTTTTAATGAAACCCAAATTAAAGAAAACATTTACCTTCTGTACCTTTTTATTAAAAATTTAAAGAATACATAAAACTAATCCAATCAGTTAGTCTACATTCTTAGTAAAGCATTACTTGTTTCTTGACACAAGGAAGTAAAAATACAAAATATATATAAAGAGGTGTTGGATCAATGCCATGTACTTTACTATTTATGCTGTCATTTGAGACCAAAGATCAGAAAATGCCCTCTTTGGTCCCACAAATTCTTTTTCAGTCATGTAATTGATTCAGTGAAGGAGAGGCTAATAACACCTGTGAACACAAGTTGGGTTTTAGTGCAAACTAGGAAACAAAGCAATGCAGAAATGTTAGTGGGTTGCCCTTCACAGCATTTAAGAGTGAAAATAGCTGGTGCACAGGAGAACTGGGTGTCCAGTTCTGAGGGAACAAGTTTCCTGCCAGTGGAAAGGGAGGCTCTGGCATTGCTTGGATCTGTCTGAAGAGCAGTTAGAATAACAAGATAGACTCTTGCTGTGTCAACTATATCCTGATTTAAAAAAAAAAAACGAACAAGTTTATAATGGCAGATATCCTCTGCTTATTGAAAATATTTGTATCAATTACAGATGTTTATTTTAAAACAAAAATATGCTTGTGAGTAGTTGTTCATGCCAACCTCCAACATGCACATATGCACACACACACACACACACACACAGATTTTGGTTTCTCTGTTTTAAGAAGTCTTCATGTAAAAGAGATTTGTGCCTTGTTATCTTGAAATTAGGAATTATAATTGAGTCAGTACAATTTTTCTGTGGTAATTCAGACTTAATTTGGAGAGGTTCAGTTTTATGTCTGATGACATACTATCAGAATGAGTCAATTCTGAAAATGACAAAAGAAAATGCATTACTATCCTATTGCTGCTGGAACACGTTATAACAAATTCAATGACCGAAACAACACAAATTTTGTATCTTCCAGTGCTGAAGTTCAGAAGTGTGAAATAGGTTTCTCTGGGCTAAAATCCAGGTTGTATCTACATTTCTGAAGGCTAGGCTTGCCTCTCCCAATCTCTAGGGTTTGTACCCTTCTTGTCTTGTGGCTGTTCTTTCATTATTAAAACTAGTGTAGAATATCTCCTTCTCTGACTGTGACACCGCTCCTGGGCTCCTCTTATAAGGGTGCTTGAGTCTACCAAGATAATCTACCTCAAAATCCTTAACAGAGTAACATCTAACACAATAAGCTAACATATTCACAGATTCTGAGGATTAAGGCCTAGCTATTATTGGAGGTCTATTACTTTGCCTAACATACACTAAAAAATTCTGTTGTTAAAGTTAATATAACAAATACCCAAACCTGGCAAATGTAAGATAAAAAAGAAAATAAAATATTAAAGCAGATGCAAAAATCCTAAATAACACATTTAATTAAATACAGGTATATTCAACAAAATAATTTCAGAAATTCAATAATTTGCTATTTGGAAGTTTATTAAAATAACTATTCTTAAGAGAGAAAAGACACAAATCTATGGTCATTTCATAGACCCTTAAAAGGCATTTAATGGTATTTATAAATCAGTTCTGATTTAAAAATGAAAGCATAAAATTGATCCACAATTATAATAAAAATGTATATATCACACCTATTGCCACAATTCTAATGTTGAACTTCTAAAGGCAGTCCCTTTGAAATGGATAATAATAAAGAATATCAGTTTTCCCTGCTCTCACTTGATACTTTGGTAGTCATGATAATGCATGCTGCAGGCCCCCTTGGGGAATAAAGAACCCCCTACTTCCACTGCTGAGAGACCCAGCAACATAGAACCCTCAGCTGTCATTTACTTTAGTGATTCCTTGAGTTGAAGAGATTTGCTTAGCCCCAAATGAAAATCCTCTTCCAAGATGGTGGCCTACATCCAATAACTTTGAATGAATAAAAAACATACTTTTTTCCTTCTTAATTCTTTAAAAAGACAATTGTTTAATGTAAAAATAGCAAGTAATAATTCTTTAAAGTAATAATAGTTTGTGGCTTATGTAGCTATAAAACTCACAACACAATAGCAAAAAGCACAGGAGGAGGGTCGATGAAATCATACTGTATATGGTTCTCATATTAGACATGAAGGGTAAAATATTAACTGAAAGGGAAATTGTTAAAGAAGGATATTGTGCTCACTTCAGCAACTGTTGAAAAACAGCACAACATGGTAAAGTTCAAAAGCCAAGAGAAAAGAAATGGGATACTAAAACCACTGGGCTAACAAAAGAAGGCAGGTAATAGAGGAGAAAAAATAAGATGAGGTACATGGCAGGCTTACATCCAATCGTATCAATAATGCACTTTAACTAAAAGGCATGAATTATCAAAGAAGATAACAAAAGGAAAGGCCACTTTAAGTATAAAATCAGACAGGCTGAAAGTAAAATGTTGGCAACAGGTACATCACGTAAACATCAGGCTAAAACAGCTAACCAGTCTGTAAAAATACAAGACAAACTAGACATTAAGACAAGGAGATTAGCAGTTTAACATAAAAGAGAAAGTGGAAATTCATGAAGAAGACAAAACTGTTTTAGATGTGCGTATATCTAGCAACAGAGATCCGAATCACACAATGCATAAATTGACAGATAGTTTATAGAAGCAGATACATACAAATTCTCTGGCAGAGATTCTTAACACTCTTCTCCCATAATTTATATAACAAGTAGACAGTGTCAGTAAAGATATGAGAGTTTTGATAAGCACCCTCAAACGCCCTGATCTGGTTGGCGAGTAGGCACACCACAGTCAACACACAAGGGGACTTACCAAGACAGATGACATGGGGGGCTGATGGCTCTCTAGCACTTCATTCTGCATAGTCCCTTTTACGTGCATCTCCTGGATACTGAGTCCTGACAGTTCGCCTCCTAGAGGACTCGGGGCACTGCACAGTCACGGCTGCGCCTCTTGGCAGTTGAAGCCCCACCGAGGTGAGTAAGCTGCCCTATTTCTCTGCTTCCATCTTCACCTTTATGGTATTTGCCTTTGGGCCAGCAGCCAGGGGGCCCTTATCAAATGCAAGTTGGATGCTCAAGAAAGTGAAGAACAGTGAAATAGCATGGGTGCCCAGGTCTGATGACACTCTCCGCTTAGCTGTGTAACAAAGGGCCGGTCACCAACGTCGGTTTCCTCATCCTCACAATGAGGATATGACAGCACTTACCATCAAAGGGCTGTTGGGACCTTTAAATGACATGGTCAGTGAAGAGCACTTCACGTGATGTTTGATATTTGAGATCAATAAATAATGTTGATTTAATTCATATAGATGTATTTTGTATTTTACAAACATATGTACCTGTATGTATGTTCAGTTTTATGGAGTACCTAAATATTGACTCTGTCCTCAAGATGGTCTACAAAGCTGTTGCTGACAGCTCTTCCCATGAACCAAAGCTTGTTTGGCCTTTGTCTTGTTACCTTTAGGACTTGGTTTTCATTTCATATCAAGAAAAAAATTGGAGTTTTTATTTCATGAGGGGCAGTGCTTTGTCTTTCTCTGTGATAGGATCTATTATTTTCTACCTTGTATTCCTAAAATCAGCTTGATTTTTGTGGAATTCTTCAGCATACCTAAAATCTCGAAATGATCTAGGGCAATTTGCTATTTTCTGTTTACCGTCCTTTCTTTCCACTCCGTATGGTAGAAAAAGCAAACCTGAAGCTCAAAACCAATGGTATGTCCCGCAGTGTGTGTACTGTGGAACCGTATAATGACCTTTTCTTCCTGTACCAGGTGGTATGACCTAATTTCTAACTGAGTGATCTCTACTGGTGTGTATTTAGCAAGTTTTGAACAGGAATTGTTCTTTTTCCTTTTGGCTTGTTTATTTATTTACTTGCTTATTTCCTTAATTATTTGCAATGCTGGGGACCAAACCTAAGGCCTCATGCATTCATGCATTCTAGACAAGCACTCTGCCACTGAAATGCATTCCGGTCCTTTTTTTCATCACACCCTTCCCTCCCCTCCTCTCTTCTTCTCAGTCTTCTTTCCAGAAGTCATATGAGAAGCTGGTCAAAATTCAAGGGTAACATAGCTTTCCATTTATTTTGAATGATCTGTAGAATGTAAAATGGTGATGAAATTGTGCTTACCCAGTAAAGCTTTATGCAAATCACAGTTCTTGGCTGTGGTATTTTGGATCTTAATTGTCCTTCAAAGGTGCTGGTGCTAAAGTCTTAGTTCCCAGCCATGACACTCTGAGGATATGGGAATTGGGGGCATGCTCTGGTCCCCAATCTCTATTTTTTCTCTCTGTTATAATGTGCTCCCTTCTGTGATGTCTTTCTTCACCACAGGACCAAGTAATCATGGACTGTAGTCTCCAAAACTGTGAGTCAAAATAATTTTTTTTTCTCTCATTGCATGGATTTATCTCAGGTATTTTGTTTCAGTAATGGAAAAGCTGACTAGCATACTTGGATATATTGAGGACTTGATAAAACTGAACATTTAGTATTTCTTGCCTTTTTTTTTTTTTTTTTGGTGTGGTACTGGAGAATTAACTCAGAGGTGCTTTACCATGGGGCTATATACCCCCAGAGATTTTTATTTTTTTATTTTGAGGCTGGGGTCTCACTAAGTTGCTGAGATGGCTTCAAACTTGGGATCATCCTGCCTCAGCCTCCTTAATCACTGCCTGGCTTACCTAAATTATTAAAAAAAAACTATTGAGAACTGAACTTATCTTGTTAATCAGACATTTAATAATTTGGAATGAAAGAACAAAGATCTTGAACCAAGTTATTCACAAATTTCAAATGCAAAAAGTTAATGAAAAAAGGCACAAATCCATCATCATTAAATAATACTCTGGAATTATCAGTGCATGTGATGGACAAACAAAATAAAGGTTTAATTGTACATGTAAACTGCTGAAATATATCCTTTAAAATTTTTTTATTTGTTTTAATTAGTTATACATGACAGTAGAATACATTTATGCACTTTGATATATTATACATAGATGAGATATA